ATTATAATTGTTCAAGGTCATCTTATGAGTGAGAACACATGGAACTGAGTTCTTTGTTTCTGTGATAAATCACTGAGTATGATCGACTCCAAATCCATCCAATTTGCTGCAAAGTTCATATATTTGTCCTTTATGGCTGCATAATATTCCACTGTGTATATGTACCACATTTTTTTTATCCAGTCCAGCTTTGATGGGCAACACAGTTGGTTCCATGTTTTTGCTATTGTGAATAGAGCTGCAGCAAACATATGTGTGCAGGTATCTTTTTGGAGAATGATTTGAGTTCCTCTGGGTATATTCCCAATAGGGGAATTGCTGGGTTATATGGAAGGTCATTTTCTAGTTCTTTCAGAAATTGCCACACTGTCTTCCAAAGAGGTTGTACTAGTTTGCATTCCATCATACACAAAAATTGACTCTAAGTGGATCAAAAGACCTAAACGTAAAACCTCAAACTGTAAGAACCTTAGAAAATGCAGGAGACACTCTTATGGAAGTTGGAACTGGCAACTGATTCCTGATCAAAATCCAAAGTGCCCAGACCATAAGAGATAAGATAGACAAGTGGGACCTCATTAAACTGACCAGTTTCTGCAAAGCCAGAGAAACCATCAAGAGAGCAGGGAGACAGCCCACAGAATGGAAAAAATATTTGCCAACTGTATATCTGATAAAGGCCTAACATTTAGAATCTACAAGGAACTCAAACGCGCCGAAAGGAAAAAAACAAACAGCCCCTTTAAAAAGTGGGCAAAAGATATGAATAGACACTTCTCAAAAGAAGATATACAGACAGCCAACAGACACATGAAAAAGTGCTCAGCCTCACTCATCATCCGAGAAATGCAAATCAAAACCACATTGAGATACCACCTAACCCCTGTAAGAATGGCCATCATTAATAAAACAAGCAACAGCAGACGCTGGCAAGGATGTGGAGAAAAAGGAACACTTACACACTGCTGGTGGGAATGCAGACTATTTTTGCTTTCATCTATAATTTTTGTTGCATAGTTTTTGTGGTAAATTTATCTAGGGAAAAAAAGCAAAAGACATTTTTCCTTTGCAGGTAGTATTACCAATGTCTTCTGAAATACCTGTAATGTATAGAGGTACACTCAACTACTAGAGAAAAGTAAGTAAAAAAACAGGGCCTACAATAATCCACTGTGTCATAGAAAAATTGTTAACAGAAGGGAAAAAGTAGAAAATGAAAGCTGAGAATAGCTGGGAAAACAGCACATCAGACACAGAGATGGCGCATTCCAGGAGTTACATCTAGAACCCAGGTATAATAGCGCAAAACTATACCCCATCTACAGATTGAGTCCTCCTGAAGAAAGGTAGGAAGAGGACTACAGGCAACTAGACGAGGTGAGTGAGGGACAAGCCTTCCCCCAAGGACAACACTGACGTATTGAAATGCCTTCAGGAAATGACTTCCGCAATTGCTTGAAAAAGCAGCCAAGACTATTTCTAGAACCTGCTTTGAGGGACCTTGATGAACGTTTCCTACTTCCCATTCTAAGAGAGGAGTTGGGCAACCTGCACAGGGCTAGAGACTCATTTCAGCATTTTTTGCTTGGGGCCAGAAAAGAATGAACAGAACCTCTCCAAATTTCCTTGTACCTAAGTTGAATAACATGAACTAATTAAACCCAGATTCTGTAATAATTTAGCTCTGATCTTAAAAGGCCTTCCTACAGTGCTAGACATGAGTCTAAATCTTAAGGCAACCATGGCTCCCTGTAGATTTTTAAGTTCCTACTAGATGAGTCCAGATTTCTAGTTGTTTTCCAATGTCGTTTCTATAAAGTGAGTATTTATTGGTCTGTGGTTTTCTTAAGGAGATAAGTAAATTAAAATGAGTCAACTGTACTCCTGGGCTGAGGAATAGCTCTACTTGCTAAGAAATATATTCCATTATTTTCCAGTCCAAGTCCTATTTCTTCTGCGTTGAAATCTAATGTTAGAAGATAAAATATTTTCTATTAAGTTTGATAGGTTTAAGTAAAACTACATGATATGCTTCCATCAAAGGGAACGAGTATCATTCTTCAAAGCAGAATCAATTTGCAATTGTGACAGATGATGTTTTTCAAATTTAACTGCAATTCCACAATGGTACTTTGATGTCTTTGAAGTAATTGACATAGAAGTGATTCTGTATTTTAAACTGTGTTCTACTTTCAGTTTGGTGCTTAATAGTAATACTCCAGAAGGCCCTTGCTTCTTAGAGTTTTTATTTTGCAAGCTACTTAACGTCATAAATAAAAATCTGATTTTTAAAAATAAATCTGATTTATAATGGAAACAAATTTCTCATTTTTATATTGCAAAAAACATATTCTTCCTTTGAGACACAATGTGTATCATGCATAATATAAGATATATAATTGATCTTAATTGACAAATAGCTCTATTTCAAGCAAACATGATTGTGTTTTGTTTTTATTATCTTTCAAAAATTCCTGAAGACCAAAGAATCCATCAAAGCACTCTAATTGATTCCAAAATTTCAGGGGATTATTCAGTCTGAGGTGATTACAAACTTGGAGGGAAAGCGACAGATGAGAAATAGACTGGAATCAAGATAAGTGGCACAGATCTTGAAGCTCAACTTTTGACTGAGGCATGAATGCCTCACAACCCACCTAATGAAAACTCAGAGACAGGTGTAACTGTTCTACAGTGATAGCATTAAAGTGTTCAATCTCTGATTGTTGTGGATTCATGACAAAATTTTCTGTGGTTCTCAGAAACATAAAATAAGGATACTACAGTGAATTTTTCATAAATAAAAACATATTTCATTTAAAGAAATGCCTTTTCTGATATTGATCTTTCCTTAAGCCCTTTTCTTCTAAAATACTTATAGTTGGTAGTGGAATGTGTATTATTTTTTTTTTTAACAACGGTGCTTGGCAAAATGAAAAGTTAGTCCCATTCTTTTTCTTTGAAACTATACTAATCACTGAAAATCTAGAATGGGAAACATTACTGCTGAAAATATCAGTGGTAACTTCAGTGAATTTCCTTTCCAGCAAACCCCAGGGCTTTAAGGCAGGCACAACCCATTGCTTGCTTCATCGTTTTGGAAAGAATAAAGGATGTAACAAATTGGAGAAAGTTGGAAAGAATTCTCTAGCATCTCAGACATTTTCTTTAGAGGATAAACATTATATCCTGATTTCAATCAATCCCCAGGGAGATGGATTAAAATATCATTGACTGCTGAAATATCTATTACAATTTAGTGCCTCAAAGTAGTATTAACATTCCTTTCATGATTTAATTATTCCTTAATCTGAATCTATCTTACATTGCAGACTTACTCTATTTGCCAAAACTGAATTTAGCATCATTTAGTTATTTTATATAATAGATTCCATTATCTCTTTGCATAAATGTCAGTCAAAACGTTTAGTATCTAATGCTGATGTCACTAATAATTCCTATTTGTAATTGGCAAAGCCATCCAATATTACGGGATCACTAAAAGTAATAAGAAGCTGATAAAACTGAAAAGTATCCTCTGTGATTTGACAGAGTTTTTAGAAAACATGGGGTGCCTGTAAATTGTCTCCTAAGTGAGTCATGGTGCATTTGATGTTCTGTTGTTTTCTTTCTCCTTTCCCTCTTCCAGTGAAATCTGATGAGTTACAGACAATCAAGAAAGAATTAACCCAGATAAAAACTAAAATTGACTCCTTGCTAGGGCGCCTGGAGAAGATTGAGAAGCAGCAGAAGGCGGAGGCAGGTAAGTGAAAAGTATCTGCTGCCAGACAGGTCGGAATTAAACCAGGGAAACACTGTCTATCACAGAGACAGTGCAGGGCCAGGGAGACACTAGCTGAATTTAATAGAGTTTAATACAGATACGCCAAGAATGTCTTTAAGCTGAGAGTTGCAGTGATGGAATATGACTATTTTGCTTTTTGAGAACAGAACCAATTTTCTAAGGTTCATACTAAAAAAAAAGTAAGAGAAAGTGTTTTGATGGAATGATCAGTAATAGCTGAATCACAAGTGAAATGTTATATCTCAATATCAATTAATGGAATAATGATATTAATAATAAAATAAAATCAGTGATAATCAAAATAATGACAAATAGAATCAATTAATAGAATAATGCTATCAGGCTTTAATACTATTTAAATTTCATTAAATTAACTGTAGCAAAATTTAATAAGTTTCAAAAAATCATTATTACAATGCCCAACACCTGCCTTTGCTGCCACCCTCCAAAATTTCAGGACACAAGTTCAGGAACCTCAAGACCAACACCAGACCTCTGACCACTCACAAGCCAAGTTATTTGATTATATTTTTTACAACTTACTAGTCTCTTTCCTTTCCATTATCACTCCTGGCCCATCTCCATTCTAATACAATTCTAATGTGCTTTTCATATGGCTATAGATTTTTTTTTTTTTTAGTCATAGAATATAAGAATTGATATAAACTTAGAGCTAGGCCATAATTTATAAACGGTGCCCTGCAAGGTCTCAGATGCCTCATAGGATTCTTTGGAGATGAGATGGGATTTAGGAAGAGACCAAGAAGGTAGACAAACTCATGCCTCCTCCAAACCCAGCCTTTGATCAGACTAGTGTATGTCTGCCTTTATCTGTTTTTGATTTGGTATGCAACATAAGACTTAATGTGCTGGAAGAGTTCCACTTCTTAAAAAAGAAAGAAAGAATACAGCTTGAAAGCCATTGATTAAATCCAACCTCCTCATTTTTGCAGATGAGAAAACAAGGGTTCAGGAAGGTAAACTGATATTTTTATAGCCACATGTCTAGTCAGTGATAGACCTGGGTCCCAAACCCAGGTCTTGTCACTGAATTCAGTGTCCTTTCCAATTTACAGCCTCAATCTCAGGTTTACTCCAGGGCCTGGTCCCAGGATTTCACTGAAATGAAGGCAACCCCAACTGAGGAGAACCAGTTGATTGGGACTTAGGGCTCCTGAGCTACCACAATCTGAAGTCTGCCTGTGTATTGACCTTATCACTGGAGTGAGGACTAGACCTTACCTTCTCTGTGATGAACCACATAGAACTCAAGAATGAAAAGAAGCCAGATGTAAAGTGATGGCATAGCATAGTGGATGAGAGAAATAAACTCTAGTTCAAATCCTCACATACCACATACTCATTTATAAAAGGATAGTGATGACTACCTCACATTGTGAGAAATGAATACAGTAGTATATGTACTTCAAATAGCACAGAGTTAAAAACTGAGTAATTGGAGCTATTGAGTTAGTAGCAACACACACATATACAGGAAAATGATTCCCTACAATTTTCATACACCCCCTTTTTAATTTTAAAGCTGTGGAGCTCATGCGAGGATTTGCTACATAAGTAAATTGTGTGCAGTTGAGGTTTGGCATCTAGTAAACCCTCTCTCCCCCTGGTAGTGGACATGGTACTCAGTGGGTGATTATGTGCCACTTATCCCCTCTCCTTCCCTCTGTACTTCCCTCCTTTAGCAGTGCCCAACTTTTGTTGTTCCTACTTTTGTGCTGACATGCCCAGTGTTTAGGGTCCACTTATGAGTGAGAACATGAAGTATTTAGTTTTGTTTCTGATAGTTCAGTTAAAATGATGGTCTCCAGCTGCATCCAGTTGCTGCAAAGGATGTGATTTTGATCTTCTTTATGGTTGCATAGTATTCCATCTTGCATATGTACCACATGTTCTTCATCCAGTCTACTTTCGATGAGCATCTGGATTGGTTTCATGTGTTTGCTACTGTGAATAGTGCTGCAATGAACATACGTGTACAGTTGTCTTTTTGGCAGAGTGATTTATGTTCCTTTGGGTATATCCCCAGAAGTGATATTACTGGATAATATGGTAGCCCAATTTTAGTTCTTTGAGAAAAATGCCATACTACTTTCCACAAAGGTTGAACTAGCTTATATTCCTATCAGCAATGTAGAAGCATTCCCTTTTCTCCACCTGTTGTTTTTCAATTTTTTAAGTGATATCCATCCTGACCCGTGTGAGGTAGTATCTCAATGTAGTTTTGACTTGCATTTCTCTGATAATTAGTGAAGTGGCACATTTTTTCATGTTTGTTGACTTGTATGTCTTCTTTTGACAAGTGTCTGTTTATATCCTTTGCCCACTTTTTAATGGGGTTGTTGTTTTTTCATTTGAGTTCCTTGTAGATCCTGGATGTTGAGTCTTTGTTGGATGCGTAACTTGTAAATATTTTTTCCTCTTTTGTAGGTTGTCTCCTTTACTGTCTTGATGGTTTCTTACAAATGCATTTTGTATTCAGAAAATGTACACTGTCTACATTTCTTAATTTTTAAAATTTAGATTTTTAGAAAGTTTTTATATGCTGTCTATGCATTAATCTAAAGCATTGCTGTAACTGAAATATCCTGTGATGTTGCCTAAATCAATATTTCCCTTTGAGGAACTCTGTAAAATTCATTATTATGTAAAACAACCCTTACAGCAAAGGACTTTGATAACCAATTTGCACTTCAGTTTAAAGGATTATGGAGAACTCATTTAAATATAAATCACCTCAAAGAGAAAAGTGGGATCCTTATTCTATCATATTATACCTTTCAGTTTACTGCAATGAATAATACCTTCCCATACCTTCTCGAAAGATCGTCTATAAACGTAATGTGAAAATTTAAAACTTGCACCTTCTTTTCATGAAAAGATGTCACTTATTTTTGCACATGTTTGAACTTTTCCAGTCATGAGATAATAACTTTTCAAGTGATAGTCTTAGTCCTTGATATTTATGGCTTTCTTGTTTTAACATGTTATGAAGAAAATGAATTTGCTTAATTTGTAACTTCGTTCTTTTAGTAGTTGTTTCCTGAGTATTGTCTATATTTATAAAGCTAAAATATGATCATTTTTCTATATTTTCTTTATTAAAATAAATTAACACTACATTACGGAAAATAGAGTGAAATGCATTAAAATTTATTTAAAACTGCTCAATGCTTTCTTATTAAATTTAAAGGGGTATTCATTTTAATGTTTAATTAGCTGAAAACTAATTATTTGGTAGCTAACATTCACTCCTTATTATCACTCTTGTCTACGTCTCTCATTCCCAATGTATGATTAATTATTTGATAGGGAAAATTTCAAGCATAGAAGTAGTGGCAGGAAAGAGATGGATGGAAGATCAGGAACAAAATGTGGGGAATGACCCAGAACATGAAACGTATCATTTTTTTTTTTTTTTTGTCTTTTTTGAAGTGAATTCCTAGGCTCTCAGTAGTAATCACAATGATATATAATTACATTATTTTGGATTCTCTAAACCTTAAATTGCTTCTAGTAGATGTGTGTGTGTTGTCCTGTATCTTCATTTGAGATTGCAAAGTTCCTTAGAACAAGATCATGTCTTCTCTTTCTTAACTCTACCCAATACCATATACTATTTCATCCTATAGAAACAATATGTCTCTATTTACTAAGCACAACTTAGCAAGTCATTCAACTTCTTTAGGTCTTACAACTCTCAAATATAAACTAGAGGGGTGTATTATTGCCTCAAATGTATATCCCAGCTGTTAAAATTATGATTAGTGAATCCACCATGCATATATTAAGTATAAATCACCTCAAAGAGAAAAATGGGATCCTTATTCTATCATATTAAACCTTTCAGTTTACTGCAATGAATAATACCTTCCCCATATCTTCTCAAAAGATCATCTATAAACATAATGCTAAAATTCGAAACTTGCATCTTCTTTTCATGAAAACTTCTTTGGGGATGTAGTGACTATGCAGATTATAGAAAACAACAAATAACACTTAAAATTAGTTTAGGCTACAATTGTGTCTCATTCCTAGATGATTCTTTTAAAAGTACCACATAGAACTTGTCACATGTACATAGCACAATTTATGTGGTTTACATAGTGATTTTTTAAATGATCAAAAAGAGTGAGAAGACTGAGTATCATATAATGGGCACAATTACTCTATGGATAACTACATTTAAAAAAAATAAATTTCAAGCATAGACTTTCTGAAGTGAAAAGGCAAGGGAGTAGGCAACCTGGTCACCCTATAGAAACAATATGTCTCTATACTCACAAAACTGCCAATCAGTGTTTTACTGCCTTGAAGTTAATATAAACAAGCAAGAATCACCAGATAAAAGAAAATATTTAACATAAAAAGCAAATACCCCCAAAAAAAAAGAAATCAAAGGAAACACAGATAATAAAGAAAGAATAAAACTTTAAAATGAAAAAAAATCCACTGATAAGTTACAGTGTACTCATGAAATACAAACACAAAACTATAAAACTGATTATTCAATGGGCAGATAAAAGAACTTTTAGAAATTAACACATGAAAGCACAAATAAGTAACAAAATACAATGATTGGAAGACAAAACTGGAGAAATTCTCCCAGAAAATATGGAACAGAGATGGAAAATAAGAGAGGAGAGATATGAAAATTACAGGATAACTATCTGGATAACAAGGTTTCAGAAAGAAAGAGGAGGAAGATCATCCAAACAAATTTTTTTCAGGAAAGAAAATATCAAAAGCTAGAAGGCCATAGTTAACCAGATTGAAAAGCTACAGTCAGTGCCTGGGACAATGCATGAAGATGCACATTAAAGCATGTCATCATGATATTTCAGAAATGGAGATAAAGAAAAGAATCCCTGAGTATCCAGTGTGAGACAGATAAAAAAAAGAGAGAACAATTTTAAATAAAGAAACAGAAATCCAAAAGT